AGGGACTACGGCACATTAAAAAGAATAAATAAATAAATAATCTTAGGTGAATTATAACAACGCAAGTCAAGCCAACAATTTTCTAGTTTTAGAGCTGTTTTTTAATACATTTCGATATATATCCCCTTCATCTACCCAGACCGTTTGAAAGAAAAGATAGAAAATTTATTATTATTATCTGCACTATGGTTAGCTCGGATCAATTCGAGACGACCCCTAATCGCACATTTGCCAGTTGCATAATCTATTGGCAAGCGTTGGTCTTAAAATTTGTCCACAAGCGGATTGCAGTGCTGTTTGTTGTAGTCTTCGATCTTTTGAGTGGCCTGCGTCGTTTCGAATGACTCATGGCGATGGGTTTTGCATTGAATAGTAGTTGGGCTGAGTTTTCCTATCGAGTTGTTCCATTGGGAATTGCTCTGGTCGTTGAAAATTACGTATACGCAGAGGTTGCCTAGTGGAAAGCTCTTAAGAGCTGCACCAACTATCCAGCTTTCAGCTAGAAATAAGTGTTGCTTGTTAAATGACATAGTTTTTCATTTGTACAGCATTTTATATGTACACATTATGTGTGGAAGACCGATTCATGTGGCAGCCGAGTAACCGACTAAAAGTACTACAGGAAATTGAATGTTAAGACCGACACGTAGAAAATAAATGCAGCATTTGGTACCAACTCACACATTGAAACACTGATTGTGGGTTACAGATACAGAAATATACACACACGCACACATAGATGCTGCATAAATCTATCTTAGAGATTTATGGCGCACCAGAGCAACGTTAATAGGCAAATGAGAGGGAATGAGAATGGGGCAAAGTATATATATATGCATATGTGTGTGAGTGTGTGTGTGTGTGTAGACCAACAGAATGGCTAACAGAACGGCATACGTATGGCCGACTTGTGAAATGGTAATAAAACTTTTTATGCGCATTTATAGACGTTTTTATGCCTGCGACCAGGTTGTCTTCAAAATGAATTATGAAATATTTGGGCAATGTTAAATGCGAATCGAGTAAAGCAACTCTCGCCGGCTTGCATTAATCATGGCCAAGTCGGTAAAAGGACATGGCCAAAGCTATCTGCACATAGATAAATAAATAACCGCAACTTAAGAAACCTGTGGTCAGGGCCATAAAATTGAGTTATTAAAATAAACAGCGACAGGTGCAGAGTCGACGAGCGACAGCGAGAGAGAGAGTTTTGCAAAAGGTTAAGCTATTGGCCAAATAGCAATCAACGCGTTTTGTGCTAGAGAATGCAGGTCAATTGCAGACTGTTCGTATTTTCATAGCAGCGAACAAATATTACCAATGTTAACATACATGGCGCAAAGCGTGCCAAGTGGAGCAGTGGAGCAGCAACAACAATGGTGAATTAGTTAACTGACATGCAGGAGAGCGCGAAATTGCAACAGCAAAACAATTACAGCTGCCAGCTGAACGTTGCCCCAATTACGAATGCACATCAAGAAGAAGGAGGCACTTGGCCTGGTCCAGACCCAACCATCTGTTTGGGGCAGCCAGGCGTTTATCTAGCGTTCTCTCGCTTGTTGCCTTGCCTTGTTGAATATCTTTCGCACAAATGTTGAGAAAGCGCGATAACATTTTAACACACAACGCAAATTTCATTCAGACACAAACTCACACACAGACGCATACTTATACATGGTAACATGTTGCAGCCAGGCTGCTGAGCTCTCATGTGCTTCATGCGCTGAAGGCTTTATCAAAAACAACAACAACACATGGCAGCTGCTGCTGCTGGGCAAAAGCACAATATGACCCTTTGGTGTGCACTATTGGGATAAGATATACGAAATGAAATTCCAGTTCATTTCGGCAGCCTGATAAAGCCCTTAAGTGCTATTGTTGATAGCACTTGCAGCTGTTAGCGAAAAGTGGCCGCTGTTAAACCTCTCCATATGTACTAGCTTCCAAATCAATTGCCAGTTTTTCCACATGGAACCAACAACCTACCATAACTATCGTCACATGTGAAAGACAGCGCATCCTTAACTGGCTACCTGCCCAGCTATCTACATAGAAATCCATATGAGAGAAAAACCTTTGGACCCACGGACAAGTTGACCCATTTTTAACATTTCGCTGCGCCACAGTGCCAATAAATTAGCATATAAGAGCAGACAGGTAAGGGGCAAAAGAATATAAATAAGAGAATAAAAAGAAAAGGCGGAAACATAAAATCTGCACATAAAAGGATTTTGCCACAAATGAAAACATAAACAGGCACAAGTTAACAGTGTGCGACTATGAAAAGCCCTGCCTTATATAAATTTGTCTATTTAAAAATACCACTTGAATAAAATCCGGAAAGTAGGCCACATTTCTTGTTCTCATATATTTTGCATAGAATATTCCTAAATATTTTTCTTAGAAATTTAAAGGCAATTTTTGTTTACACATATTTTTACTTATGAATCTTTAATGTTACCATAACTTGTTCTGATAATATCTCGAAGCTTTTCCAGCTGCTACTCTCCGCGCACAGACAGCAAATAAGCATTCGGTTACACTCTTTACAGCTGTAGGGTATAAAAATGTAAAATTTATTTAATTCGAAATATTCGTGGTGTGTTTCTTTGTGTCTTTTTATGATGCATATACAATTTGCCAAAAGGATTTGCTTGTGGAAAATCCACAATGCATGCATACAAAATACGGCAGACGCAAAAAACAACAGCAGGGAGCTGCCAGCTTTGGTAAACCGAATATAAAATACCCTTGACACATCAACCTATAAGGATAAGGAAAAGAATGGGTATAGAATGCAGACACTTTAGAAGAGGAATCTTATATCTGTCCTGATATTAAAACACAGATATTTTATTGATTGGCAGTTGCATAATTCAATTGTGTTTTACCTATGTGTTCCATTCATAGGGTATGAAAAGTGTACCCTAATTTGAGTATGCTGCAAAATCAACTGAGCACACACTCAAACACACACATCGTGGAAAAGTAAAAAAGTAAGTAAAAACACAACCAGTCAACGAACAGCGAAATTTACAAATAACTTAACAATTTGCTTTTGGCCCTGTTGACGTGGCCCAAAGGGGCCAAGGGTGAAGGGCGAGCATGCGAAGTCATCACGACGATGACGACAACAACAACAACAACAATAACAACAACAATATCAGCAACAACATCATCGAACAGCAACTGCTGGTGAAAGTTAAGGCCAATCATTGCAACAATGCCAAGCCAGTGACAACAACAATTGCTAACAGAGACATGAATTTCAATACGAAATGTTAATGTATGTAGTTGCCCCATGTGGCAGCAATCCGATGATGAGGCTCATATCGGATGATCCAGCTACAAGAAAAAACAGATTCAAAATTCACATGATACGCAGACTTCAAGTCAATCTTCAGCCTCACAGAAACAAAATCTTGTCTTGCTGCAGTTTGGTAATGCTAATTTTTGACATTCTCTGAATGTATGATCAATATGCCATATAAGGACAGCGACCTGTAATGGACTGCAGACTCGACTCGACAGCCAAATTTAAATCTTAGAAGCGTAGCTAGTTTAATAAAAACAGAGCTATCTTATCATACTACATATAGAGTAACCTTTCCACTGATCTCTTAAATTTTCGTCATCAAAAGAACCACACGATTTATTTTTTTACTTTCTTTGCCCGTGAATATATATATTTACATAGGATTTTGTATATGTTTATAAAATATGGGACAAAGTTTGGCAACTGGCAGAAGGAGAATGAACAAATGCACTTTGCCCATATGTTCATATATTAATAATTATTTGTGACGAATGAAAAAAATGTCCGCTTTCGAATTAACATAGATATATAAAAGTTATATAATTATTTTTATTTGTCAATTTTATTGTTCTTATTATTGTTATTAATAATAATAATATTATTGTATCTTTATTATTATTATTAGATTTTTTTCCTTATTATTATTCTTATTGTTAAGTACGTTTAATAACTACTTACAGGGTATCTCATAGCCGAAAGCAACCTATCAACTCGAGAATTCTTGTTCTTTTTTTGTGGATTTTCTCATCCGCTCCTATCTCTCAATCCATCGCCCATTTTCGACTTGAACTCGTCATAAATTTTAATACACATTTTGGTTTGCAAATTGCTCAAAAGATGCATTTCCCGCGGTCTACGTCTCTCTCTGTCCCTCTCACTCACTCTCATTTTCCCTCTCATTATCTCTATCTCTCTTCCTCTGTCTGTCTCTGTCTGGTGCTGCTCGCCTGTTGTCCTTTTGCAGCAGCAACCACAACAGCAGCGACAACTGTGACGAGCCCGTCAACTTTTGATTGACTGGCTAAGTTCAACTGATGTGGCTCTTGGGTCTTAGCTCTTGTCTCCTGGTCGTTGGCTCCTTCCCTTGAACCGCTCCACGCATTGGCATAGAACGGCAGCAAATTGCATAATTTTTACATAAATATGCTGACGTGCATTCATAATCATAAAAAGGGTTAAAATTCTTTGTATTCTTGTTGGCTTTTGTTTTGGCTCCGCCTGCCTCTTTGCAAGCGCTGGCAAGTACTCGTATTTTGTTGGACTGTTATTTATTTGGCCTCATGCCTGCATATATATGTTTTTTAATATGCAGCCTAATAGGCATTCCCTTGGATTTTTTCCTTTTTTTACTCCATTCCCGCGCCCGAAATGACAAAATGTATGCAAAGTTAAAACAGCAACAAAAGGGCAACAGCATAGTGCATAAAATATTTATGATATCGAATTGTATTGGCATTATTTTCAGCTTCAATGCCAGCTTATAAGTCGACAACTAATGTGCATGAATTACGAATGCGTGCAAATTCAGACATTTTGTAGATATAGAAAGCCACTGCCTCTACAGGTGCAAGTCAAGGGAATCGAGCATTTTTTTCCATCGAATGAGCTTGCTTTCCGGAATTGAAAGTCATGAAATATTTAAAGGTTTTTTTTCTATTTAACTTCAAGTCGACCAATTGAGAAAAGTATTTCATATACATATTCATATGTCGTATTTGTATTTTTATTTCCAAAAAACTTTTTTTATCAATGCTTAAATTTAAAAGTGTTTTATAGATTTTCACTTTAATCTAAAGCATCTACTTGTGTACTACTTTTAGCCGCACCAAAACCACCCACATGGCTCTTTTTATATGTTCATCCATAAGCGCACATTCGGACAGTAAAAAGCAACGAGCTGTGAGAGTCAATTGCATGCAAAACTGTGCCATTGTCAGACGCCGCTGCTGGGACAAAAGGGGTAAGTAGAAGGCGGTGAATAGGTTGAGACCAGGCCGTGACTGTGTGTGACGACCTACGGCCGCACAAAGGGTAACAATGCTGCGCGGCGGACAAACAAGGGCAACCACAAAATGGCCACCACAACGGCAGCAGCGTTGGCTATAAACGACATGCGGGTCAAAAGGACGCCCACACAACAGCAGCTACAGCAGCCGCAGCAGCTGCCTGGTCATAAGGATGATGGCGACAACTTCACGCACAGGCAGCAGCACAGGCCAACGGGCAGGCTGTGAAGGCGCGCCCTACGACTTCCCTGCAGCTCATGTGGTTGTTGTTGCTGTTGCTGTTGCTGTGGCTGCTGCCTAGAAAATGTCGTTATAAATGGCAGTCATAATAAGTGGGTTAAATGCCCAGACACCCTGCCGCACTGGGTCTCTGGGCCAGTTGTTAAGTGGCAAGCAGAGCAGGGAGCGGCAGTCGGAGGCTGGTCATGTGTTGATTCGCTGTTGATTTTGTCGTGTGTCTTGTGCAAAACTAATTACCGATAGTTCAAGGGGTCACCTGTCCATTGAAGACTCTTTAAACTGCAATTAAATGCCACTTGGATGTTGGCCAAGGCGTCGGTGTCGGCGTCGGCCTGGCCAGAAGTGAAGCGATTATAAAGCAATCAAGTGGCTGTGGCTGTGCCCGGTGCCCCGTTTCGCCCAAACTGGCAGCCACATTCACATCATTTGCAAAATCATAATTCGCGTGTTAAGCGCGCATTAGTCTCACGTTGATTTATCACAGCAGGTACCACGGAAACAGCTATAGAAACTGGGTCTGGGTCTGGGTCTGGGTCGGACCTGGTAATTGGGTCCTTGCACTCACTCTCTCTATCTTCCTCTCTGGTCCAGAGGCGAGAAATAAATTGGGACCGCTGCCTGCACATTGTGGTATGCGGTTTTAATAACCGAATTCGCAGCTAATTTCGAGCTGAAAGTTTAGTTGGACAATGCCAGAGGCGTGTGGGTGCAGCATGTATTAGAGATGGGCGCGTGAGCTGTTTAAAATTTGTTATTGATCTAATTGAGATTATATTGAAGAGGCAAACTGTTAGATAGCATCAGGAGAAAATTCCTTATTATTGCCCAAAGATTGAATTGAAGAGGATAAATTGGTTCACGCGCCTGCCTTAAGTCCCAGCTCACGCCATGCAACATGCAACATCACTCGCCACAAGGCTCATCTCTAAGTGGCATTCATCAAGAAGCGCCTCTTGAGCACACACAACTACCATGCCTTCCGACACTCGACCAGCTGCGCATTCGTTAAGCCAACGACTTGATTTTTGGCTGCTCCAGTGGTTGCCAGTTGCGGGTTAGCGGCGCTGCAAAGTGGAGCAAATTTATGCCCAATTTCATGCGAGTGGCAAATGATTTATGCGACAGCGCGTTGCAATTGCCAAAAAGGATATGTGCGTTGATTTCGTTTGGCCTCAGGACAAATAACTTCATTATGTTGCCCTCTCGCTCGCTCTCTTTCTCCTGCTTAGACCCGCCCCCGCTCAGCTGCAAAGGTTGCCCCCTTTGGTAATGATGTTTCATGTTGTTGTTGATGTTGTTTGGAATTGGGATTGGGATTGGGATTGGGCTTGGATTTGAGGATTGTAAAATATATGCAAGGCAAATCGCACGATTCTCGTGATGTTGCTCATATTTGGGCACCGTAACAAGCGAGGCAACACGCGACAACAACAACAACAACAGTGGCACCAGCAGCAACTAGCTAAGACACACACAAACAGCGACAACGCGCGAAAATCGCATTCTACTTATGGCGTGAATTTCGCGATCGTCTTCTTAGCTTTTTGCCTTGGCACTTGGCACAACCGAAATTCGATTCAAATTCCCAAATTCAAATTTAAATGCAACAACAACAACGACAACAACAACAGCAGCTAGAATAACACCAACAACCACATACGAATCGAGATGCATAGAGCCCACAAAACTGTTGGCTAGAAATTGGCAGGAAGTCACGCCATTTGAACCATTTGTTTGTTAACAATAAACCGTTAGTAACATGACGCTGATTACACATGCATCCATAGTAAATGACAACATTTATCATTAGGCCAGCTAAAAACAGCAACAGCAACTGCAACAGCAACAACAGCGGGCAGCAAGCAGCATTAAGCAGCACAATTTGCCGTTAATTGCAACTGCAGATGCAAATTTGATTCAGTCCAGCATCAAAAACATTTACAACAACCCATAAAAGAACTTAAAATCGTCGGCAACTGTCGGCTTATGGGATTTCATTGGCAGCTTCGCGATGCCACAGTCAAAATGTCCTTAAACCCAACGCCACGTTCTGGCACAGGCAACAGGAATATCTTGTTGTGGCTGCTGCTGCTGCTGTTTGCTGGCAACGAGTTGTTGCACGCACTTAATTAAGACGACAAGTGAACGACCTCAGCTGTCAGAAGGGTACGCGGAAAGGGCTTACAGCTGGTCCAGATGGCTCTGCACCAGAATTATTAAATTTGGGCGATATGTTGCATGAGCCCTATACAATGGCGGACGAGATGCGGAATAAGACAGCGTTGGACATGGATAATACACTCCAAAAACAGAGTAAATCAGAATTATTCAAATTCGGAACTAATGGAAAAACATTTTTAATTATTGGAACAAATTCAAATATGTATGATCAACTCTTAGATGCCAAATCAGTCTAAAGAACAAACTAATACCTTGAAAACGACCCGACAAATTTATGGGAATGGAATGCGCCCCATAAAAAGAACACAAATCTTGTGGGGATCACATGGACTGAGCTTCCTTTCGTTTCCAATCGATCAGCGTGCGTAGCGCTCTGCCAGCCATAACAAATAAAATATGTTTTGTGTATTAATAAAAGCCCGAAACGATTGCACTTCACACCTCATTGAGATTGGCCATAAAGATGCCTTAATAACTCAGCTAAGCTGGAGACGAGCATCGCGCTTTGGCCGAATGGAGCTGGGTTCCTGCTGCTGCAGTCTTGGCTGTCAGTATCGTTTATGGCTGCCCATATTTAATTTGCCGCTTCGCTCGATGGCCAATTGAAGCGTTTCGATAAGGGGCCAAATTCATAAATATGAAAATGGCTTCATTTTGTGCGCGATTCGGACAGAAGGCGACTGGATTGGACTGGACTGGGACCTGGACCTCGGCTTGGGAGTTGCCCTTCATATCGCTTAAATTAAAACTTAAATTTCAACACTCGTTGCTTGCGATACGGGACCATATTTTACGGTCCAAAGCAAACACAATAACAACAACAACAACGAAAGCAACTCAACTCAGTGGCAGGCTGACAATGGGAAAGGCGTTGCAGCTTTATCTGACAAATGCGCGTATATCTCGAAAGTTGTTGCTGCCGAAATGAGCAGCAGCAGCAGCAAGAGCAGCAGCAACAACAGCAGCTCAAACCAAACTGACCCTCACATTCATTTATCAATGCTGTAGAATGTGTCGCCGTGGCAAGGAAGAAAGTGGCTGCCAAAAGCCGCACCTCTAACAACGGCTGCTGCTGCTGTTGCTGTTGCTCCCGTGACCATTCAGCCAGTCGGCCAGCGATCGTCGTTGGTAATAGAACTAACTGAGTGCCGCCTTGTCTTGATCTACCGCCGTCCAGTTTGGAAGACGACGATGACGACGCCGCCTACTTCATCATCATCTGAAACGTGCGGCGCGTAGTCATGGGCTGACATTTTTGAGTTGCCGTCGTTGTCTATGGCTGGCCCAACGGCAGCAAAAAGGTAGCAACATCAACAACATACAAAAGCAACAGCAAACACATCAAGAGCACACAATAACAAACAAAAACGGCAGCGAAGCCTCCCAATGATTAATTGACTTTCAAAATTGCTGAAATTTTTAATTTATTATACGCGCCAAAGTGATTAATCAGTAGTCAAAGCTGCGGCCAAGCACAAGGCAGGGGAAGCAGGGCAGGTTAGCAGGGTACGACGGCTGCCCAGCCAAAAGGTAACAGCAGCAGCCGCAGCGGCAGCAACAACAAACTGTCTTGGCAGTACACGTAGGCAGCGACTGTGGCTACGAGATTGAAAGTGCTGGGCAGCAGCCAGCAGCAACAACAGCAAGACGACAGCAGCAACAACTGCCAGTACTTGTTGTTGCTGTTGTGTTTTTTATGTCACTGCCAATCCTTTGAGCGCATCAGTCAGCGTCACCTTCGTTTAATGCTTTTAATTGCCGCCACTGTTGCTCTCTGCAACATGTGGCAGTCACATTAAGCAAGATAATTCAAAAGGGTTTGCTTAGATAATTATGTTTAGAATGCGACTTGAACACATTTAGGGAATTTGCTCAGCAAAGCTAAGGATGCACAAAGGAGGCGTAGTTAATCTTTAGAAAGTCAGCCACGCCCATTGGCACAGTTCAAGCCAAAGCCCTTTACTTGAGGAGTACGTGTGTATTAATTAAAGCCCAGAAATAACAAAGGAAACATAAATTTTCCAATAAGACACTTTCCTTGTGACCGCAAAAAACGCACTGCGAAGCTGTCAAAAGCCGAAACACAGTCAGAGCCCGAGTCGAAGTCAGAACCAGAGCCAGAACCGTTAGTTAGCATTTTGAGTGGTTGTGCGTTCCGTGTCTTTTGATGTTCGGCGCACAGACACATTAACATAAATATGAGCGAAAGATAACTGAGAAACACACCCATCGTCCCAAAGTTGAGGAATGGGAAATGCTGTTGCCAAAAGAAAAACTTTGGCCAAGGCTCATTGACGTGCGTTAGGCAAGCAAGAGAAAAGGAGGGAGCGAGACGGGCATAGAGGCAGAGGGAGAAAGAAAGTGACAGCGGGGCAATGGGCGGGCGTGTATCAGGGGCGTGACCTGTTGCATCTGGCAAGGCAAAAAAATCTCAATAGATGATCGTAAACACAATTACGTTTTGCGGTCAGAGCAACAGCAATAACAACGACAGCCAAAAAGTGGGTGTGCCCCGAACTGCAAACGCCGGCAACATACTTGACGCATCGCTGGCAACATTCAAATGGTGCAACAGCAACTTAAAGATGTGGCAGGCAGAATAGCATAGAGCTTGGCAATCAAATGAAGCACCCAGCCTCACATGCTGTTGCTGCAGCTGATGATGATAACCATGTTGCTGTTGCTGTTGCTGATGAGTTGGACAATATCAAGGCTTGTTGCTGTTGTTGATGGGCCAATGTTTCGGTCAGTTGCCATAACGAATCGCAATGCAGTACAGTGCAGGCAACACATTAAGGGTTGTCTTCCCAGACGCAGTCGCAAGTTGAGAGGCGGCGGCAGCAACGCGCAATTTATAAAATGTCTTAATTTTTTCGTTGCCATTGCCAGCAACAGCTACAACAGCTACAACAGCAACAACATTCGGGCGGGCGTCAAGCTAAAACGCCGCAGGAAGGCCAGGCCAAGCTTGGCTGGGCCGCGCCGGGTCCAGGTCCGGCAACGCTGGGCAGTTGGCTAAAATGACTGACGCTGATGCCTGTCAGTTCGTCGGACAGCCGGCAACTTGTTGCTGTTGCTTGTAGCTGTTGTTGCTGCTGTCGCCGTCATCAATTTTTCGCAGGATTGTTGCCGCTGCTGCCGCTGATGTTGTTCGTGTTGCTGTTATTGTTGTTGGTGGCGATAAATTGCATTTTAAGCGTATTTTCCCTGGCATTATTATGACTTTATAAACTCTGCGGGCTTTATGCCATCGCACAATGGGCACTTTGCATTTGTTGTTGTTGCTTTCTCACCGCCCCGTGGAACGCCTATTGGCGCAGTGAAACGTACAGGCTGGACGCAAGGTGTGAGCTATTTTTATATAGGAACGAATACCCTTTGATTGGCAATGATGAAACGCACTGCGGGCGGCGGCTAAGGGGCAAGGGCTGGCCAATCGGGCCACTTGATGTGCTGCCATGTTGCTCGTCTGTGCTCGTAACAAGATAATTGCTTAATTTGATTAGCAATTGTTGCTGTTGCTGTTAGCAGCGCTGTTGCTGCTGCCGCTGCTGCTGCAACTGCTGTTGCTGGCGGCTAACGCACCGCTGGGCGTGCAAATTGCTAACAATTTTGATATTTAAATTATTGAGCCTGTTGCCGAGTCGAAACGAGTCAAGTCGAACAACAACAACAACAACTGCAACAGCATGACAGCTCAATAAACATTCCATCAAGAATGGAGTGTAAAAATCCAATTTTCATAAGTGGCCGCCAGCCAACCAACTGCTTGCCACCGACTACTGTCCTCCAGTCCTTCGGCTCCGCTGTCCTTTTGTTCCCGTATTCATCCTTCTTCGCAGCGCTTCGGTTCGCTGCGCCGCTTTGCATTGGCATTGAGCAAATGGCATAAATTAGCAACTGTTGCCTCTGCAGCTGCAACCGAGCAGCAACCAGCTCCTAATTATGAAATGCACTTTTTATAAGTGCACTTAATTTGACAATTATATGGGCTTTACACAGAGAAACCCAGGCAATACGGCAAAGCGATAATAAAGTGGAAAAGTGGAAAGTGTGCTCAAGAAAATATAACAAATTAAATTCATAATTGAATAAATAGATAAAAAAAAAAAAATACAATCCATTCTGAATGCGCAAGTGTCTGCTTTCAAGGGAGCTTATCTCGGGAGGCCTCGATAAATTGGCTACCACAGTGCAGATCAACTACAAGTTGCTGGCCATGTACTTAAATTTGATATTTTAATAAATTAAGCGCAACGAAACTAATGCAACCAACACCCGCTGGACGTCCACAAAAGCTGGTCACTAGCGCACAAAAGCCAATAGCTGCTGAGCCAAGATCAATGATCCGGTAGCTGGGGCAGTGCTTGCGGCCGCAGATGCCTGCAAACTGATTGCAATTTGAAATATTCAACGAGCAGGCGCACAACAAGTAACAGGAACAAACGACAAGAACTTCTGTTTTGCCGGACAGCTGGGCGGACAGCTGAGCAGGGAACGCAGACGCAGTCGGGACAGCGACTAAGTAGAGTGGACCAAGGCGACCCAAACATGATTGGCATGCGCCCAGTATCCAGACTCAGACCCAGTCCTACTGCCAGGCCCGAACTGCTCACCAGATCAGGCTGTAATGAGCACCTCTCTCTCTCTCTTACCGTTTCTCTATCTCTTTCTCTGTCTCATCTCTACAAATGTGTCTGCCCACCAGGCTGTGGCTCCGAATCTACTGTAGTACCTACTACACACTACCTACCGGCACGATCAGCGATAAGTGGAAGCTGCTCATATACGAAATGGTTTTAAATTTTTCGTCTAGTGTTTGATTCTTATTAAAAGATTGGCGAAAGCGTCTTACAAGCGTCTTTCCATTGCGAATTGCAAATGTCGTTTGCCCACCTCCTCCTCCCCTTTTCCCATCCAGCAGTTCGATGCCAAACTGGAAACCCAAACCGCACTCGTTCGCCTACCCAACCCAAATCACACTCCATTCACATTCACATCAACAGACTGGAGAGGATTGCAGTCGGTTAACTCCTGCATACAATTAGCCCACAACATTTGAGCAACAAAATGCGCTTGTAATTTATTTAAATCCCGCTCCCCATCAACAGGTCCATTCCGCAAATGCAGTCTTATGAACCATAAGCCTAATCAGCAAAATAATCAGCAAAGCACAAAACACAAACACTTGAAGACAAAGCCAAAAAGGCAACAGTTGGGCCTGGATAGGAACGAGGGCTTGGCCTCTACTCCATTCCAGCACTCTTGGCACTTGACATTGGAGAGGAGAAAGATGGATGAAAGGTAAGAGGCAAATCTATAGGTTTCAGCTTTCCCAAAATGTGGGTATAGTTTCGGGTAGTCCTCTCGCGTGAAATATTAAATTTTGTCTATATGTAATCAGTTTGATATTATTGTTCTAACAATTATTTTATTTTTAAATTTAATTTCGAAATTGAACCAATTAATAGAATTATGTGAAAGTTATATTAGCGGGTACTACACGGCTTTGCCCGGCCAAAGTTATCAGTTTTACACATCAAAAACAATCCATCTTGCACCTTTGCGACTTAACCCAAATTATCCTGTTCATCATAAGGACTGAATCATGCTTTAAAATCGTTTACATAAATATGTAAAAAATAATTCATTAGGTTTTTTTAAATTATCTGTGGAGGAAAAGGTCAGATTTACATCACATTTTGTGTCAAAATTTGGGTCGGCTCGAAAATGAAAATGTTTGTTGTTTTTTGAATATCTCGGGTAAAAAACTTCTGATTTTGCAATTTTATATGAGTTTGGACTCATATGAACCAGTACTATCGATTGTCATTCAAAAAAATCATAAAATTATTTTTTAACCACATTTGAAAAAAAAAAAAAAATAACTTTTTTGTACAAAAACAAGGGTCGGCTCGATAATCAAAACTTTTTGAAAATTTTCATAGAATATCACGGATAGAAAACGTCTGATTTTGGAGATGTACCTTTTTTAATTCGATACTATCGATCGTATCATCGGTACCTGGAGATTACTGAATATAGACAATTAAAAAAATGTAAAGTTGTTGCCAAATCTGGATCGGTTCTGAAATCAAAATTTGTAGAGATCTGTCTGTCGATTTTAAAGCTTTTTACGAATCCTTAAAGGTATTAATTCGATATATTTTTGTTAATAAAAACTAATAACTTTTCAACTTGTATTTTTCAACCTAATCCGAGCGAAACTGTAACTGGAGGTAAAATTCTTCTATTTTGTTTAAACAAATTCCTAAGCCTTATAAAATATGCCTTATCGCCACTACTGGAATATACCATTTCAGACTCCCCCGATTCAGCAGCTGTGGTCAAACTAGCAGAATATTAAATTGTGAGTAACTTAGACGGACGAATAAACCGGCGCACAGAAAATAAGCAAGCTATCAAAATGCGAGTGAGAGCGATGTGCCACATGCAGCGTTAGTAGAAAAATGACAGCGAATACCCACACTAACACGTGCGCCAAATCCGAAGATAAGCAGTCACCTGTTTGTGTGTGTGTTCGCTGTCATTTTTCTATTTACGCTCACGCGCTCATGATTCTTTTTGGTGCTGATCGCTGATTGGTCCAATCCATAATTGCTGGCATTCATGTTCTCTTCTGCTCGTTTGCGTGCTCTATTTTCTGAGCGCCGTTTTTATGGATCTGCGCAACTTTATTCTGAGTTAGTGTAGCCTCGTTAGTCAATATGGCATGTTGTTATGCTGTGGGTGATAGTCTACTAAGGTTAGTATTATTTTAGTAAGGGCAAGTATCGTCCTATTCTTTAATAATATACCTTTTTGAACTCGGACAGACTAAAACTATTAATTTATTTATTATATAATATAGTATTTAAATATTTATATATAGAAATCGGAGTACAGAAAATGGACATGTCTTACTTTGACCTATTAACAGCCTAGCAGTCATATACACATATGTAAGCATACATATGTTTGGGTGTGTTTTTGCAATTGATATCTTATTGTGCTTGTATGTGATTGCTTATGCGTTATCTACCTTTGAATAGTGTACACACATTGGGGATTTATATGGACCAGTACTTGATTGGAATTAAAAAAAATCATATTTAAATTTGAAAAATAAACATGGCAAAAGATTACATCACGTGTTTTGCAAAAATCGGAGTCGGTTTAAACATGAAAACTTTTTTGATGATTTTTTAGGAGTATCTCAGGTAAATATCATCAGATAATATATACATTGTTGAATTCGAACGGAAGCCTACTAGCAATTGGCATTCAATAAAAATAAAAATTAAGGGCTTAAAAAAGATGTTGAAAAAGATGTCCGAAAAATTAAGGTCGGTTCGAAAATCAACACTTTTTTGATGATTTTTTTTGAATATCTCGGGTAAATATTGTCAGATTTTGAAATGTTATACCTCTTGGAGTTCGTACGGATCCCTACTATCAAATGGCATTCAAACGTTTAAAAAATCGATGAGTAAAAAAAAGTGGTTGGCCAAAAACCGATTCGTTTGTAAAGTCAACCTTTTTTGATGATTTGTTGGGATATCTCGGCCAAATAATGTCATATTTGGGAATTTAATACCATTTTAGACTCGTGAGTATCAGAACTATCGATTGGCATCAAAAAAGGAATATCTAAATGTTGACCCAAATCAACAAAATGTCAAGGGGTCACATCACGTTTTTTCTAAATATCGGGGTCGGTTAGAAAATCAACACTTTTATGATGATTTTTTTTTTAATTGTGGAATGCCCATGGTATCTCTGGGCATGTGAAGGACCTAAATTACTTTCTATGCTTATTACTCAGCCTTGTCCTTGAGGATCCTGGCAAGTCATGTGTCAAACAGTTCCTGTGGACAAGAATCATAAACTGGCCAAAGGACATCCAAATCGTCCGTGTGGTTCCCGAAGTATGGCTACTTTTTTAAAAAGGACATTCTATTTATCGTCATAACTCTTTTAAATCCTGAAGGATATCAGAAGGATATACCCTTTTGAACTCGTGGGCAGAAGGACTATCGATTGCCATCCAAGGGTTTTGATGATTCGACAAAAAATTTTGCTAAAATTTTTCCTAGGGGGTTCGTCGTGAAATTGGCTAAAATCGAACAAATCCGGGCTAACTTTGCCATTTGAAGGACTATCGAGATGTCCTTTGGACAACAAGTAGTGCTCACCCTCCCATTGAATAATATACAAATCAAAGGACGAAAGTTCTTCAGACAACGGAGTTTTAAGGACAATTTTGTGCAATGAAAATAGGCTATAACTCGTTCATATCCTCGCGTATCCTGACGAGTCCTGTGTCAAAAAAAATTGTATTGACTAGGACTTCCAACTGGCCAAAGGACGTCGAGATCGTCTTTGTAGTTTCAGAGATATTGCAATTTTATTGATTTTTTGTGATTTCTGCCAATTTTCGTTGGCCCCGGAACTGAAAATTTTCCAAGTCCATGACTCTTAGATGACCCCCCAATTTTTGTATGCAGGCCGATGCAGTTGGTCTCCTAGATCCTAACGCACCATATCCTTTGAAATTCTGCAAGGATATGACCGAGTTATGGCCATTTTACTTTTTCAAAATACCCTTATACATTTTGTTTGACCTGCATTAAAACGTGTTTTTTTCTTCACAGATCGATGAAATAAAGGATTGGCGATGCAATAAGGATAAAGACAATTAAAACAGTTGGTACCTAGTTGACCCATGTATCCTTGGTTATACCATACCATGGATATAGTCCTAGCGAACCTACAGGGTCTAAAATGCCAGATATTGTCCAAAAACATGTATGATTTTTCTTTTAGCCATGCACAGTAGCTGTTGCGGCCGTTGATGGTCCTTAGTTGACTAACATATCCTTGGTTATAATATCATACCATTGATATAGTCCTTGAGAACCTACAGGATCAGATCCTTGAGAAATTCGCATCAAAATGGTCCAAAAACATGTATTCTTTTTCTTTCAGCAGCCCCTGTACATGATCTGTTGCCTAACAGCCGTGCTTACAGAACTCATTTTACATGATTCTGTTATTAAAAAGCACTCATTTTAAATGAGTAAAATTTTTGCCCCTTAAGTATATGCAATGAAAATTTTTATTCAAACAACTCATCTACTTGCTGGGCATTTCTGTTCGCCTGGTATTTGAGTGAAATTTTAGTGCAAATTCCGCGACCCAGCCGGCAGCGAGGGCGCCCCTTTTGGGTATGCAATGAAATGTTTCAGCAGCTAAAAATATATTTTGTCGACCTTCTGGGTATTTCTGTTCGCCTGGTGTTTCTTGGGAAATTTAAGTAAAAATTTGGGACCCAGCCGGCGACAAGGGTGCCCCTTTCGGGTATGCAATATAATTTTTCGGCAGCTAAAAATATTTTTCGTCGACCTTCTGGGCATTTCTGTTCGCCTGGTATTTTGGCAGATTTTAAGAAAAATCTCGGCAGCCAGCGGTTGCCAACAGACGCCCCTGGCGGGTATGCAACGGATTTCTAAAGACCGTTGATTTTTGAATTTTTAAATAAAAATAACAGGGAATTTCTCTTTTATTTTAAATAATTGATTTATTTATGTTTCAATTTATAAAATTGTTGTTTTTTATGCGAGTTTTCTTAATTATTTCTCTTAAAATTATACAAATCGAGCATAAATTATAAATTAAGGGTATTGAAACTTAAAATAACTATATTTGGCTTAATTAAAGTCCGATCCTGGAAAAATCTGCTCTGTCACTCGTGAAGGTCCTTAGAGCTGATTGTAGTCCTTAATTTGTCAGTCTGAAAAGATAAAAATACATTTAAATTAAACAAATAAATAATTATATAAAAGCGGAAAATAGGCCATAACTCGGGAATGTCCTTGCAGATTTTCAAAGGATATGCTGCGTTAGGATCGTATAGACCCCCTGCATCGATCTGCATCATAAAAATATGGGGTCATCTAAGAATGATATGACTCGAAATTGGACTTATAAAATTTTTGTCCCGGAGCGCACGGTAATGGCCCGATAACACAAATCCTTTAATATATCCAAAACTACAAGGACGATCCTAATAAAATTTGGCTAGTTAGTAGTCCCGGTCAATACAATTATTTTGACATATGACTCGCCAGGACACGCCAGGATATGGTCGAGTTATGGCTTATTTTCTTCAAACAAAATCGTCCTTAAAACTTTTTTGTCTGAAGGACTTTCGTCCTTTTGGTTATAAATTCTTCAATTGGAGGGTGAGGACTTTCTACTGGCCAAAGGACACCCCGAAAGTCCTTCAAATGGCCAAGTTAGCCCGGAATTATTCGATTTTAACCAATTTTGCGACTAAGCCCCTAGGAAAAACTTAGACGAAATTTTTGGTCGAATTCTGGAAATCCTTGAATGCCAATCGATAGTCCTGCTCCCCACGAGCTCAAAGCGATATATCCTTTCGATATCCTTAAGGATTTGGCCGAGTTGTGGCTAATTGAAAAATATCCTTTTTCAAAAATAGGCCATATCTCTGAAACGGCAAAGACGATTTTGTTGTCCTTTGTTGTCCTTTGTTGTCCTTTTATTGTCCTTATTCATAAGATTTGTTTGAAATAGGACTTGTCAGGATCCGCAAGGATGCGGCCGAGTTATGTCTTTGTTGATTTACGAAAGAATTGTACTCATATCTATGCTGTCTAGACGACTTTCGTCCTTTTCTTTATATTTACTGAATTGGGAGGATGAGGACCAACAGTTGCCAAATGGACATCATGATCGGCAAGGATACGGCCTTTTATCTCTACAGACAAAAATCTATTTTCCTCAGCTCCTTGAAGGACTTACGTCCATTTTCATACAGATTCTAATTAAGTTGGATAAGAACTACATGTTCTCGAAAGGACATCAGAGTGGTCCTTAAGGTGGTCAATTTAATGTCCTTTAAAAAGACAATACCCATATCTCACAAGCCATAAGGACGATTAAAAAAGTGAAAATCTAAATTTTAATCCAAATCAACAAAATGGCAAGCGGCTACATCAGGTTTTTTCTAAAAATCGGGGTCTGTTCGAAAATCAACACTTTTTTGATGATTTTTTTTTAATATATCGGGTAAATATTGTCAGATTTTAAAATGTTATACCTTTTTGAGTTCGTACGGATCCCTACTATCAATTGGCATTCAAACTTTTAAAACATCGATGAGTAAAAAAAAGTGGTTGATCAAAAACCGATTCGTTTGGAAAGTCAACCTTTTTTGATGATTTTTTGGGATATCTCGGCCAAATAATGTCAGATTTGGGAATTTTATACCATTTTAGACTCGTAAGGACCAGTACTATCGATCAAAAAAATTAAAATCTAAATTTTGACCCAAATTGACAACATAGCAAGGGATTACATAACGTTTTCTGCTAAAAACGCATGGCATATTTAGTCTTATATAGACTAGGATATTTTCACGAATTAAATTGTTCCACTAATTCAAAATTCTAGAGCTTTCCAATACCAGTCGTCAACAGGCCGAGTTATTAACATGTTAATTTTTTGAAAACCGATAAAATCGTATATCTCTTGATAATTTACATAAAATTGGGGAAAATATGAAGAAGTAAGGGAATAGATATAGGTGAATTTTGACTAAATATATTGGAAATGAGTTATGAAGAATCCGTTTAAACTGATATTAAACATCTTTGCTTTGGATATTGTGTTGTAAATACATTATGTATAAAATAGATGCTACCACCAAATTTTACGTTTTTATTACCGATTATCTAACTCTCCAAACTCTAGTTGTTAACGTGAAGATCGTATAACTTGCCGTTTTAACTGTTCTAGCAAATTGCTTCTCATGTTCTATGTGGGCTACACTTTTAATAACAAGAAACAGTCAATGCCACGAGGAATCTTGGCAATTTATGTGGTCACACATTGGGCAACAATTTCACCAGCTTCAACTGCGAGTCCAACTGTTGTTATGTGGGGCCAAATCATGAATGAAGGCTCTTTGGTGGTGTAGGCCTGCCCCAAATTGTGTGTGCGAGCGGCTCGTATGGAACGCAATGCAATTACTTATCACAGTATGCAGTCAGTTGTATGAAGACGGGCATAACGGGGGGGGGGGGGACCTGACTATGGCCAACGACCTGGCAAAATGGCAGCGAAATTACTTCACAGTACGGCTTAAACCTATGAGTATGCAAATGCAATGTGTCTAGGTGCCGTGCCGTGGACACGACTATTACCTGTCACATTGTCAGGTGATTGCGAAATTGTTGCGTTACGCCAGCGCCCAGCGCCCAGCGACCATTGCCCATTGTACATTGGCCATTGGGAGATTTGGCCTTAAATTTGTGGGAAACATCAACTGCAACTAAGTGCCGGCCATTGATGAGGGGTCCCCAGTTGGAAACGTGACTCGAACGTGACGTTTGTGCAAACAGGAAGATTCAACTGACAGCAGCCGCGGCAGCCGCAGCCGCAACAGTTGGCGCTCTTGGAACACCACCAACCGAGCACCAAGTACCAAGTCCAACTCACTGTCACAGCTACAGACAGACAAGAGTTAATACAGTTCAGCTCGAGCTGAAGTTGTAGCTGTAACTGTAGCTGTTGCTGTTGCTCTTGCTCTTGCTGGAGTCGCAGTTGGAGCTATAGTTGACTTGATTGCCGGCGACGTTGCTGGTGGTCAAGGCAAAAGGCAAAGACCGATGACCAAATCCAAAGCCAAAACCAAAACGGTATTCGCCAAATTACTCGTACTTAAACGTTTGTTATTGTTGTTGTTGTTGTTGTTGCTGTTATGGCTGATGGGCAACCATGACTTTGAATGCGTTTGGCCAAGGCGTTTCGCCCTGTTTCAGACTTTTATCAGCGTTTACATCATAGGCAACAATATGCCACGGCTTTCAAATCAAATTCGCATTGTCATAATTTACAATTGCGCTCTGGCTAACTCCGATGCGTAGGCCGAGCTCGGGCCATGTCCGATGCAGTCGGGACAAAAGCCGTGTAATTGATGAAAGTCTCAAATCGCTATTAATGTCATCGATAACAACATTCTGGCTGGCCGTTAGCAGTGAGCGGCAATGCGATGAGGGGCCCACACCGGAGCACATCTGCATCTGGTGGTTACCGTGGTTCTGATGGTTCTGGTGGGTCTGGCTTTGTGGCTTACAAGCTCATAAACATTGGCGACACAAATCAAAACATGTCACAAACAGTTGCTACGCCTCAAAAATTCTTGGAAAGCTTTTTACTTCCTGGTGCCAACTGTCAACATGTCTGGGGACAGGGCACACCAGCTCTGTGCGCCTGCAGCCCTTTAGCTGATTTATGGCCGCGTCAATTGCGCTGAAGCCTAAGTAGCTAGCCAAACAATTACCTAGCCATAAACGTGGCCATTAACCGACAAACAATTTAAAGAGCTTTGCATCTTTTTTGCATAACCCATTCAACATATGGCATGATTTGTGCATGAGAAAGCGCACTATCTGCACCCAAAACAAACACAAACACAATGCGTGCCATATGCCATTTAGAATAATCAGATGTCCTGCTTAAGATTCGCTCATATGCTCCGTTAACTGAGCAACGCCTTAAATCGTCTTAAGCAAACACTTTAGCCTTAATGCCGGACCATTGTACAAACGTGGCTTATCGAAAGAAAGCCTTTTAATAACTCATATACATAATGTGTGTGCGTGTGTGTGTGTGTGTGTGTGTGTCTGCCAGCCATAACATAATCACTAAATCAAAACCTCAGACATGAGAAATATGAAAATTGAAAAACCGTTTCAGCGGGGCCAGGCCTCAAGTAGAACTCGCCGAATTCCAGGAAATATGTAAGCCAACAGCAATAACAACAACAACAACAACAACAGCAAGAAGCGGATACGTTAGGCACGCCGAAGATGAAATGCTCTTCAAGATATATAGTTTAGAAGTAATTTAGTATAAAAACAAAATTTCTAACTGATTGATATAATATAGTAATTTGATGTCATTTTTTACATAAGGTCAAGAAATAGCCTCGTTATTGGTGCAGATATATTGATGAAAAAAATAACTTTCTTTCTTACCGATCCATCCATAGCATATCATATTGTGGCCCGATCCAGTCGAATGCGACATAAGTTCCGTCTGCAATAGAAAGACAAACTTATGCAAAATTTCATGACGATAGTTTTAAAACAGAGAGAAAAGTTTGAAAAGAAGCAAACAGACGGACTGAAAGACACGATATACTTGCCTAGAATATTTATACTTTATGGAGTCAGAGATGGCTTCTTCTATGCGTTGCACACTTTGTGAGCAAATTATAAGACCCTCAACAAGGGTATAACAACAACAGCAACAACAACGAGAACAGCTCCATTGATGCAGCATATCTCTGAGTGGAGGCTGACGAGCGGAGCTGCAACCGAAATGGCCCGAAGCGCGATACTCAACACTTCAAACAAGTTTTTGACACCGAAAACTGATTTGCTTGGAATAAGGAAAAAAGGGAAAACATTTTTATATTGGCCATTTCAATTATCTTAATGCACTTTAATATGCCAGGGCCAGATGAGAACGTTTTTACCGTTCTCTGACGCACCTCATTCTCACTCGCTCTCGCTCTCTCTGTCTCTGTCTCTGTGTATGTGATTGTGATTATCAGCTAATAAGGCATCAATAAATTTTGGTAAGCAGCAACAGCAACAGCGGCAGCAGCCGAAAATGCCATGGGGTCTCGGGATCGCCTCGAGATGTTGCCGCTGATTGCGCCACGCAGATTGCAATTAATTTGCAATAACTTTTGATAAATGCTCAAGTGTTGCCTTTTGCTTTTGCCAATTTGGTTGTTGTTGCTGTTGTTTAACCATTTTATTTTTTGGTGTGCAGGAAAGTGGAATTAACATCGCCAGATAAAATGTTGACGCGATTAACTGCCAGAGATTGCATTGAGGGCTCCGTACGAACAACCGTTAGCTAACATACGTACATATGTATGTGATCCCTTTAGTTACTTTATAATGAAACCTAGTCATAATTTATAAAAACAATTAAGTCATGGCAAAGCAAATTAACAAATTCTCTATTAATATAAGCGAAAACCGACTGCAACCAACTGCGAAATATTCATAATACCTGCTATTTTAAATAACTGCTAAACAAAATTTGAAAACTGTTTTCTTGATGCATCTAAATCTTTAATCCCCAGAGTTGTTAACTGGGACTTTGGAAAATGTAGAGTCCATTAGTTAGAGGACGGTGTTGCAAGTTTTCTTTTTTAATTATTAAGAATCTGTGTTATTTAAATTCTTCAGTGACTGCCGGTTGTTAATACTGCTTTTTTACTTTTCATAATGCAGAGTAAATTTAAGTTGCGGCTACCGTTCTATCTATCTCAAATGGTTCTCAAATCAAATCAATGCAAAAGCGAAACGTTTTCCATATCCAGTATTTACTGAAATATATTCAAATACTTGTATTCTTTTAATGGCGGTGTAATCTGGGAGGATTTGATCTTACAGCAGCTCGCTGACAGAGTTAATGTTACAATACCCTATGTATAATGTTTTTCTTATAGTTTCAAATCCGCAAAAAGCTAAGACAGCTGCAATATTACAATGTTATTATTCTATATTATAAGAAATACGAACCTTTATTAAATTACTATCTGCCATCAGTATCTCCCTTTGCTTCATCCTAGGTTTGCCTGGAGCCCAGTAAGAGCAGTCCTTGCTTTGGCGACTCTGGTGGCCCATTGGCATTAAGATATGCTGAAGGTTCAAGCACATTGGCGAGCATCGCTTCCTTTGTGACCGACACGCGGGGTGCATCTGTTTTGCAATAGATCGAAGAAGCTAAGTTAATAGTTTTAATGAATAAAATTATTTAAATTATTATGTAAATATATTGAATAAATATGCACAATATAAAAATTACAACAAAAAACTTGCTTCAATTGTCTCAGTTAATTTGTAACTCTAAGTTAAAGCTTTGCCAAGCTTATTTTCTTATATTTTATAATAGTACACTACACACATATATCTGTGCATGCCACAGAAAAAATATCTTAAAGAGAATCTAAAAAATTAAATGAAAAAGCCCCAAAGGCTATATCATTTTATTAACTTACCATCAAATTTTATGTGCAGCCGCCAAGAAAAATGCCGAACGATCAGCATAAAAATCGCATGCGACAAATTTGCCATTGACGTTGAAGTTGCAGCATTGTGGGAATGTTGAAAATTTGAAAAATGTCATCAATAAGCGAAAAGTTAATAAAAAATAATTAATTTAAGCGAGCACCGCAGCAGCAACAGTTGTAAACTGGCCAACAGCTGAACAGCTTCGGGGACCTCAAGAGCTGGGCGGGTCTATCCACACACATTGACGCTGCAAGCGCATTTAAATTGAATAAAAGTTGCTGAAAAGCCAAACTCGAACCAGGAGACCCACTGACAACGCCTCAAACGTGGCACAGCGGCAACTGTTGCCGCTGCTGCCGCTGCTGCCGCTGCTGCTGCTGCTGCCGTTATGCGCTTAACATCTTGGCATCCAATCAATTAGTTTTTATGCGCTTCATTGCCAAGCGCTGGCTGTTCCCGTCCCGTCCCGTCCCGGCCAGACCTGGCCAAGCCTTTGGCCCCGTCTCTACAGCTGCTGGCTACAGTCGGGCTACAGGCCAAGTCGTCAGCAGTGTCAGCAACAAATTGGCGAAGGGACAACGACAACAACAACGACAACGACGACAACAACGACGACGACGACGACGTTGACTACGACAAGTCGCAGCTGGCAACCAGCAGCTTTTGCCGTCAGCGTCTACTAAAATGTAATGCGCCATACTTTCTCAAAATATATCGAGAGCTGGATGCGATGTGAGCCCAGGGAACGCGACAGCCGAGAAATGTATTCAAATGGCTTTCAAATGCCAGCGAAATGTGCGCAACTTTGCGGTTTTCAACGATTGACAAATCAATTTGGGGTTGACTCCAACTCCGGCTTTGGGTTTGGGGCTTTTGTTTGCACAAAGTGCAACACCTGCTGGTGGTTCGGTGTTGATTTTTGCCCGCTGAAGGCCAAGAATACCCGCTAGCTGACACCTAAACAGCCGAGCCAGTCACGTCGATCACAGGCCATTGAACACTTGGCAAATAAATATATGCGCATTGCTTTTGGGGCAGAGCGGGTAGCGGGCAGCAGCACGGCCAGCAGATCGACGACAAGCTGCATAAATGCATGAGGATGGGCTCCAGCGCAGACAACTGCATTTGTGTTTAGCTCCGAGAACTGCCAATGATGGTGTTTGCATATATTTTGGCCAAGTCATTGCCGCTTGTTGTTGCCATTTGTAGGCTGCTGCATTGTTGTCGTTGTCCAAACACAACTGAAGTGTTAAAAACATTCCCATGTCAGGTATTAGCAATATAAGTTAACCCCCGACGTCTACTTCGGCCACGTATCTATAAGATACAAACAGTACAAAGTCAAGGTTGGGCAAATAGAAAAGTTTGCTGATTGCAACAAAGTGGTTGCGACTTGATGTTACCCAAGACAGCTGCCTAATTAGCTTGCCATAACTCTCAAGTTGTCATCGTTCTTATCATCATCGTAAATCCCTATTTCCAATATTCTTTAGTCAAAATCTGTGCTATATAAGCTCAGGAGTATTGCCTGTTTTTTGCTAGTACGTCTTCATTATGAAAATTCTACTTAAGTGGCAGCTTATTCTTTTGGGCCTCTTACTTTTCTATCGGTTTCATGTGGAAGCTCGATCCACACGACCGCAACGCATTATAAATGGCTCTAAGGCAAAAGCGCAACAGTTTCCTTACCAAGTATTTTTTGAGATTCTTAACAACTCGAAATGGATACCACAATGTGGTGGAGTTATAATCTCAGAGAGAACTGTCCTCACAGCAGCTCATTGCTTTGAAGATAAGTTGTAAGTCAACTGCAATATATAAATTTAAATATTTGCCTATATCTTACTATTTATATTAATAGCGACTTATTCAGACTATACTTCGGAGCTGTGAATAGAAAAAATTCCAGCGAAACGGGACAACAACGTTTGATAGTACATAGGGAAAATACTGTGATACACGAAGGGTACGAATTGGATCAATCCCTTAACGATATTGCCGTGATAAATTTGCCAGCTGAAATACAATTTGATGAATATATTCAGCCGATTGGATTGCCTAGTCCAAACCAAGTTATTGACAACAAAGATGGTATTACCTCTGGCTTTGGTAGCACTCAAGGTATGTCCGCATAACATAAAGCCTACAATATATTTATCATCAACAATTTCAATAGCACCGAAAAATGGTATAATAATAAAATCAGATCACCTTATGTACTTAAAAGTGAGAATTCTACAAAATCAGATGTGCAAGCCCATACTGCACAAGTATTTTCCAGCAAGATTCTTCCCAGCATCTTGGGTCTGTATTGCGCCCAATAAATCTACACCTTGCGGTGGCGATTCTGGTGGACCGTTGGTTATCAAAAATGCCAACGGTGACAATACCTTAGTAGGCATTACTTCATTCGGAATGGATACAATTTGCTCGCTCAAGAGACCAGGAGTTTACACGCGGGTTTCATCATATTTGGAATGGATTCAAAGCGTTAGCAAATCTACTAAATTGTATTTGAATGGTATACAATGAATAAAGACTAATTGGAATTGTGGCAAAGCTACAAAATTGTTGTTGAATGATATGCAATGAATAAAGACTCATTTGAGTTATTGAGATCTAATAAAATGTATGTAAATTGATGGGGAGTGGCCTCGACTGGCAGATTAGGGATAATTGTGAGGGGCGGAATGGAACTCTGTAGGTTGAACTAAAATAAAAACCTTTTATCGCGACTCAGCGAAATTGTTGTGTTAATTGAGTTGTTGTCAGCCTTTGTTGCAGTTGTTATTGTAATTGTTGTGTTCAGCTGTTGTAGTATGTCTCCTGCCTTCGCCCGTTTGCAATTCCACGGCAATTAGTGTTGCCGGTGTACACTGTCAGCTATTTCTCAGCAGATTTTCAAGTTGCCAGCATCCGTTTTGTCCTGCTCCAGCTCCTTGGCCACTGTTTTATCACGCTTTCCCTCTTCACGTGGCGCTCACGAGAAGTCATGAGTCACAGAAACCGCCATTGCTCCGTTGACATGCTGACTAATATGCTGTATTATCTATTATGTTAAAAATAAAATCGAAACTGAACTGAAGTTTAGCAAGTAAGACCAAGGATAAGACAGACGATGAGAAACTTGAATACCCTTGCCAAACTGCATTATCATGCAGTGTGAATTTATCAAAGTTCTGTCCGAATAAGTAATATCACTCTATTTAAATGAATTAAAAATAGCTTGCGGCAATATTGTTTAACAATTACAAATTTCTGTTATTCCTCTTATTAATTGAGTTGAATACATAAATTACAAAAAGACTGTTTTAGAAGTATTAGAGATTATGGAATTCATTTAATTTTATAAAGTTATTATCGTAAAACGGATTGCAATATATTTCCAGCCTACATTTCCAGTAATTTCATTTAGTTATTATTTTTTTTTATAATATTACAATGTATTCTGTATTTCTGGCAAAAATATTTGTTTAATTTCTTCTAATGATTAATTTAAATGGAGAGTTTAAACAGAGGATTTACACTGAGAATTGAAAAGGTAATTCCTATAAGTATAAAACTCTATTTGGACAATAAACATTTCAAGAGAACTGAAACTTCTCTTAGTTATTTATTTAAATAATATTTGTATAGCATAAAAAAGATAATTTTCTATAAAAGACTGTAGTACCTTAGGTACAAGATCATAAATAATGTAGGAATATCGAGCCTGGATTTTAGACTTTTATTTTCGGACGTTGTCTAAAAGTGGCGTGAGAGTATAGAAAAAACGCATGGCGCACACGCCCAAAAATTTGCCATTGGCAAAAAACCTAAGCAAATATCCAGGCAAGACCCACTAACACAAACAGTCAGAGCAACCACGACAACAACAACAACAACAACAACAACAACGGCAGCAACAATAACAAAAGCAGCAACTGCAACTGCTGCAACAACAAACGTTTTGTGTCACAAAATATTTGAATGTAAAGTGCGCGACTCGACTGCGACTTGGTTGCTGTCTCTATTCCTTGGCAGCCGGTGCAAGTGCCTGGGCAGGCTGACGTGCGCCTGTGCGACCAGGTAACGAAGCACCCGCGCCCGCTCCTGCGCCCGCTCCCATGTCTGCACCCGCGTCCAATGGGTCGGCTCACTAATTGGTCACGACAGCAGCAAGCGTTGAGTTTTTGAAAAGCGAAAAGTAAAATCCATTGAATTTGGCAACGCTCCAACGTTGCGATTCTGTTGGCCAGGCCAGCTGAAACCTTCAATTTTGGTAGCTAGACGGGCAAAACAAAGCCAGCCCCCTGCCCCCCCCCCCCCCCCCGTCCTCTCTCCCCGAATCTTTCCCCTCCAGCAGTCGCCTGATGGGGTCTTAAAGTTTAACGTCGCAATTGATTTTAGTCGTCAGTTTTGTTGGCTTTTGATTTTGTTGCTGCTGTTGTTGTTGTTGTTGTTGTTGTTGTTGCAGCGATGGCGCAAAACTTAATGCATTTAACATTAAACTATTCGATTATTTTTAGTCGTTTATTTGGCAAATTTATAAGCGACTGCATTTCAGTTTTATTATAGAATATAAATTTGAATGCATTTTTAATCAGAGTTTTATGGTCGCCTACATTTTAAATTATTATTCAAACTGTTATTAATTTATATGCTTATTGTTATTTAATAATTCACAATGGATGGCGTAATGCTTGTTAAGAATTGAGAAAACTTTGCTGTGTTTTATAGGAAAAATACAAACAATATTACTTCAAATTTGGTCTTGGAGTTTTTGGAGTTTACTTCGATTCCTCAGCTATAGTCATATATTTTTAAGCTAAACTACTTCCTGTGTGAAACCCCAACTCGCTCCTCATTTGGCAAGGCCCATTAACCACTCTGTCTGTTGTAAATGTAATTTTGGCATTATTTATTGGCTCGTTTGTTGCTGTTGCAGCAACAATAATCAAAATTTCGGCAGCCGCCAACGGCAAATGTTTAAGAGAAACAAAAAAACAACACGCAGACAACGTCATTCATCAAATAAAATTTACTTAATGAAATTAATAAATAAATTATGATATAAATCTTGTACAGTCGCCGTATGAACGCCGCCGCCAATGTTTCTGGTGTTACAGCAGCACCAGCAGCAACAGCAGCGGCAGCAGCAACATTTTTATTAAAAGCTCTAAATTATTGGCAGTCGCATGCAACGGCGGCAACAAAGCAATCGAGGCTGGTCAACTGGCGGACGAGGCAACAGCCAGACACATGGACAGCCCGCCAAACGGACCCATGGACAGCCAAGTGCCTGGCCTGGCCACATTAACGAGCAAATGTCAATTTCGCAGCAATCTTTTTGCAATTTTTGTGTTTTTTAGTTAATAATTTTTGCTGTCCAACTGTCGGCAACGGCGGCAGCAGCAGCAGCAACCACTGCAACTGCAACGGCAACGACAACAACAACAACAATCGCCGCCGTCGTCGACGTCAGCGATGCGCGTGCGCAGAAGCAACAGCAACTGAGCTTACGTAATGTGCTAAAATACTTAAGTCTTGCTTAAATTAAGTTAATATATGACTTTTTTTAATAATATTAATTGACTTTTTGTAGCGTTACTGGGGGTAGTTACGTTATGCTGAGTCAGAGATATTTTACATAGATAGATATAGATACAGATTTAGGTATCGATATAGATTTAGTTATCGATATAGATATAGATACAGTTATAGGTATCGGTATAGATATAGATATAGAAAATGATAAATACATATATGCTTCAGCTAATGTTAGGGTATTATAGATTCGTACTCCAATTGAAGTTTTCTGTTGGGCAGTTGATAAAATTTTGAATTGCCAACATTTTTCAAATATTTTTGTTGCGTTTTTTTTGTAATTTTTGTTGGCACTTAAATGTGTCAAATATTGACAATTTATATAAGTAATGCACATAGAAGCATAGGTAGGTGCCCACAGGGGCAGAGCTGGAAGGTAGCCTAGGCGAGAGACTGGCAAGAAATATGAGTTAAACGCGTTTTTTAGGTCGATGCAATTTTTTGTTGTTTCTGTAGTTGTTGCCGCCGTTGTTGTTGTTGCTGTTGTTGTTGTTGTTGTTGTGTATATGTTGTTCGTATTGCTGCATTGCAATTTTGATTGCCGTTGTTTGTTAGTGTTCTGTTGCCGGTTGTTGTTGCTGTTGCCGCTGTAAACAGGAGATTGTTATTTGCAACCCGCTGTGCGTACACCGCAAACTGGACAACTTAATTTGGCTAAAGTCGCTTGTTAGTGTTGCCCGTTTGTGTTGTTGTTGTTATTGTTGCTGTTGCTGTTGCTTTGCTTGCTGTTGCGGTTGTGGTTTGGCCTGTGATTGCCGCTGTTGTTATTGTTGTTGTTATTCTTGTTGTTGCTGCTGCTGCCTGCAATATGTGCTCAGCATCGCATCACTGTGGCACATATGAATGCAGCCTGTGAATAAAGATGAAGAAATCTCCCGCCTGCAGCTCTGCAGTTGTCAAAATGGCAATGGACAAGTTTATTTTATTTCTCTGCTGTTGTTGCTGTCGCTGTTGCTGTTATGAAAACGGCAACAATTAGAGGAACACGTAGTTATAAATGTTTGCAGAACAACGCAATGCAGGCCTTGACTTTCTTTGCCGTACGAAGCATGGGAATTTTTATTAGCAATATTTCCAATCGCTTTTCATAGCTACTATCCACTTACTTACTTAGTTCTATGCCTTCTAATTACCTTAATAGCACTAACCAACCTAATTTTTCAAGCTGCTCAGCTCTGATCCTCTGGCATCCTTTGGACAGCGTGCTTTTTTTTTATTTTCTACCCACTTAATTGCTCACGTCTTTGATTAATTTGTTGACTTTCTTAGCTTAATAATTGCCAAGTGAGAAAAATAAAAACGAAGACGAGTCTAGCACAAAAACAAATCCCCAACTGCATTGCGGCGACATTTTGCCATTTGCCACGCCAAGTGTTGCAGCAACTGCAGCTGCAACAACAACTGGAAAGTTGTCGCGTCACATGCAACAAACGACATTTATCATGTTAACCTTTGAAGTGCATTTGTCTAGACGTCTTCAACGAGAATTGTTGTTGTTGTTGTTGCTGTTGTTGCCGCACTGCCGTTTCCTGCTGCTGCTGCCGGCAGTTATGACAGCAAACGGCATAAAAAATCACGGAATAACATCAGAAAGCAACAAGGAATCATAATAATTTGTAATAAATTAACGCCTCGTGTGTGCGCTGCGACAGGCAACAACAGCAACAACACCTACCACAGGCGGCATCGGGTCTAGCGCAAGGATTAAAACACGCCCAGGCCGAGGCACAGGCCGAGGGCCAGGCCTGGCAGCAATGTCTCTACGTCATCTTCATTAAGTCAAGGCGCGTTGTTGTTGTCGAGTGCAAAGTCAACCCACCGTACATATTGCACATATACACATATACACACACACACACACACGCGCACGCACACACAGACACACACAGGTGCGCATTGCCCAACTCCCTCTGGCCCATATCCTTTTGTCTAATTTCACGCTGTCGTCTCTCATCAAAGCCTGACGCGCGTCCCCGGCGAGT